TTAAGTTTAATTTAAATTTTAACAAGTATGTTTATACTTTAGTATAAAATTTTTTATTATTTAATTTTAATTTTTGAATATTATATCTTGGATTTTTAAAAATATGAAATATTGTAATTAAGAAATTAATTTTAAAAAAATAAAAAAAATGAAAAAGCTCATGAGCTTGAGCCCATATGGGCCAAACCTATCTATTTTCCATCTCCAATGAGCATTTGGGGTACGTTAGGGCTGTGCATGGGCAAGGTCGTGTAGGGTAGCCCATTAACTCGATACCCTGCCCTAAATGTCTTTGGGTAAAAAAACTATATCCAAAGCTTGACCTTACTTGAAAGATGCCCGACTTTAGAGGGGCCGAGCGGGCAGGGATCGGGCACCTCGAGCAGGGTCTCCAGCCTTGCCCTACCGAAACAAAGAATCAAAACCATCCATACAAATATGAAATACACTGTAGCAGATTAATTATTTTCATGAACAAATCACTTTAAGCTCTTATTTTAAAAGTAACAGATTGTTAAATATCACTAGTAAAAATATTATGATGTCATCAAAAAACTTAATGGCAAAGCAAATATGGAAGGAATTTTTCTTGCAAGTCACAAGTGCTGTCTAATTCTAAATTCTAAGGAATATAGAAATATTCAACCTAAGGTTTACAAACTTGATCATCAAGGCACCTAAAAAAAAAAGAACTATCATTTATGTTCCCATCAAGTTAACAAATTACATCTTATATTATTATTTTTTATAAAAAAATATATTATATCTCAGGCCGGGCAGGGTCATTTGGTTGGATACCCCAGCCCTAAACCCTGCCCAGCTCGAAGATCGGACTCAGCTCGACCATACCCAAACAGTATTGGGCAATTTTTTTAAAGCTTGGGTTGGACATATTTTGCTCGGTCGGGCTGGGCATCTTGGGCTTATGGACATCCTGCACAAGCCTAGGGTATGTTGAGCAAGAATTTTGTATGGAATCATTATTATGATCTCCTATCCCACAATGAACTAGGAGTGTGCGTGTAATTCAATTAGTCGAGATTTCAACTTAAACTTCATAAAATTTTGCCCGCCTCGATCCCTAAAAGAAAAAAAAACTAGCTGACATAATTTGGACATGTTTGGACAGGACATTATTTAGGTAGGGCTATGCCACGAGCAGGATATGTTGCCCTGCCTGTCTGGCACAGCTTGAGGTACACTTAATATATATATATATATATATATTTACTTTTTCAAGGGTTAGTTTTAGAGAGAGAGTCTTGGATTTGAGGAAAAGGGGAATTATTCATTTTTGTCTGCTCCAAGTCTAGCTCGCAGCTCCAGATCCACACTCCACTCTCTAACCTTAACCGAAGCGATCACAGTGTCACTCTCCTCTCGCCCTCTCCAGTCTCCACCATGCCACCATGGTTTACCCCTCCTTCTCCCCTCTTGGTCTTGGTGTCTCTCGGTCTGCTGCTCTCCAATCTCCACAGCACAGTGCTGTTCTTGACTTCTTTCTATATTCTCTCGATCTCTCGTCATTCTCCTCTCTCGAAGTAGAAGCTTCGTCACAGCACAAAACAGAAGCTCTCGTCACAGGCTCACAGCATAGAAGCTCCTAGTACCTCGTGGCCATTCTCCTCTCTCCCCTCTCTCAAAAGCGCCAACAAGCTTCACTCTGCCCAGGTTTTTTTAATTTTCCCTTTAAATTGACTAGTTGTTTAAACCAGTAACCATGCCTTGGATCTCGCAAATTTGCTAATTATTATTGGTCGGCCCTTAAAGGATTGAATAATGTAACCCCTGTTTCCATGTTTTGTTATCCTCTTGAGCTTTTCATGGCTCTGGAATGTTTAGAAGCTGGAGTGAAAATCTGTTTGCTAGTTCATTGTGCCCAAAAAGCCTAGACTAATGGAAAAATTGGTTGGGTATACAGTTTTAAGAGGCGTTAGAGGGAAAATCTACTTTTAGTGCTAATGATTAGAGATTAAATGCATAATTCAATTGTTAATTGAACAGACTGTTAATGCAGGGGGCATAGGAAAGCCTACCTATATGATGCCCTTTGTTATTTTCAAGTCGTGAATTATTTGTGACACAGTAAAAGAAAATTTAGAAGAAAGAGAACAATTTTTGCATATTATATGCTTCTACTTTGTTATTTTCTTTTACCTATAGACATAGATTGATTTTAGAGGATTTCAATTGTCTTAAACATTTTTTCACTAAATGTTGAATTATAATTTTGATGTAATACGGTAATTTATGACTTTCTTATTATTTTATCATGGATTGTAAATGAACTAGAGTGGATTTGTATAGTTACATTTAGTAGAAGAATATAATTTGTGCTTCTAAGTGAATTTATGTGTGTGTGAATGTGTTGGACTTGGATTACATTTTAGAGTTGTGTGTGTGTGAATTATTGATGAGGTTTTTATTGTTTCATGGACAGAAAAATGATAAAGTAATATGTTTTTCTAACAATTAACAATACACACTACAAACACAATGATTAGATCTTTCTTAACAAACAATTTGTTGAATCATGAATACTTGAATATTGTAGCTGTTATTGTGAATTTATGGTTTATGTTTTTATAGATGTTATTTTGAGTTGATGAGTATGATTATTATTTGATGGGTAGGGTGGCTCTAAAATGACTAGCTTGCCTAGCCTAAATTAATAGGTATTTTGCAAGCAAGAATTTTACAACCCATGCATTCTTTCAATTGGACATCGCGCAGGGTAGAGCCTATGTGCACCTCTACAATGAACTAAACAAGTAGGAAAAATATAGATGGGTGCATGTACAAGGGCTAGAGCCATGATTTTTAATGGGAGGTTGATATCACAAAACACATACTATAACTCAATAATGTATATATATATATATATATATATGTTTTTAATATTACACACTAAAAATCGATGGTGTTCTTTCATTATTTATCTCTTTTCTCTTAAATTTTTTTTTTCTTTAGATATCTTTCAATCCTAAAAAATACGGATTGTAATATATATATATATATATCTAATGTAAAATATTATAAAGTATTAAAAACTGGAAATATCATAACACAAATCGCACAATATATTAAATATATATATATATATATATACATAAGATGTTGTAAATCATGACATATGTTGCACAGTAAAATAAGAAACAATGAAAGAGCATATAGATACTGAAGTGGTTCGCCTTAAACTTGTCTTTATATTCACTTAATTGATACTGCCCGGGTCGTCAGATTACAACCAACTACCAAGGTCATTGATTTAGGCTTCAGTGAAAGGATATGAGCCAAAAAAAAAAACAGAGAAAACAGGCGGAAGATCGAAGTCTGAGGACACAGAGCAACGCAAGCTATAGAGAGATTGCCTTTGCTTGAACATTGATAATGGGCGGCGGCAACTCATTCAATTCTCAAAGGCCAAACCGAAATCATATAGTATAAGATACTCCGTAATTAAATTGTACCTCTCAATTAAACAATCATTTAATTTCATATTAATATTATCTTTTTATATTCACTCTTATTTTAATAAGACCCTATTTCACTTTAAAATAAATATAAAGTGATTTATTTATTAATGATATTTAAAAATAATAATAATTATATTTTAAAATATAAAAAATGTTTTATATTTTTAAAGGGAGAGTATATATTTTTGACTCAAAAGAAAAAAGTTACTTTATAAAATATATTATATTATATTTATACATAAAGAAAATATATTTTTTGGATGTTAATTTTTTTCAAATTTTTTATATATTAGTTTATATTTATTAAAAAAATAGATCTTATGTTCAGCATCAAATGCAAAAAAAAATATATTTTGATAAAGCCAAAAATATAAAACACATATGTTTTATGAAGAAAAATTAAAAAGTCAGAGGGTCCTAATCTTCTTTGTCTCTACCACTACGTAAGACAATTAGACCCAAAGAACTTCCTTACTAGGCCCACTTAAGGCCTCGTTTATTTTGAGCCTAGGTGGTTAAATTATAAGAAAAATAATAATAAAATTTCTTTAAAATATATAAATAATAATTTAGTTATTTAAGATGTAATAATTTTTTTGAATTTTTTAAGGATTTTTCTGTCGGTAATAAATTTATATAAATTATTAAATTATTCTTGTTAAAAATAAATAATTTATAAATTTTGTTTAAATATTCATAACCTTTCTTCTTATATTCGCAATAATGCAACAAGAAATTACAACTTCGCATGTTAAATTTTTTATTTGTTGATGCATTGTTGCGAATATAAGAAGAAAGTTGTGAATATTTAAACAAAACTTGTGAATCATTTATTTTCAACAAGGTAATTTAATAATTTATATAAATTTATTAATGATAGAAAAGTCTTTAGGAATTTTAAAAAAATTATGGCATTTTAAAGGATTAAATTATCATTTATATATTTTAAAAAAAATTTATTGTCATTTTTTCTAAATTATAAGATGATTTGAAATAAAATTATGCATCTCAATAAAGCTTAATAATGATAATTTACAAACTTTTTTTTAAAATACAATTATAAACTTTAAAAAATATCTTTACACGCTTAATCATTAATCCTACTCCTCCAAAATAAAAGTATTTTCCCTCAGCTTGGCTTGGTTCGGTTCAAAATAATATAAATAACCTAGTACATATAAAATAAAACAAAATATTTTATTTTTCTATTTGTATTTATTAACCTAAATCTTTATGTAAATTTTCTCTTACTCATTATGAAGTATTTTCATAATTGAAACTAAGGGTCAAAAAGAAAAAATATATAATTTTATAAGAATAAAGACTTTATTGGTATTCTTGTTTTTATTAAAAATTGCTTATATTTTATACTGGAAGAAGCACACTACAATATTATTTTAATTTTTTTTCACTTGAATGGTTATATTAAAAAAGTATGATGAATGAAACCTTAATTTTTTTTTCAAATTGTTTTATATTAAAACATCTCTAAAATTATTTTATAATTTGGTAGGAATACGTATCTCTAAAATATGTAATATATAAATTGGCAAACTAATAAAAAACTGATGAACTGATGTCACAGCAGGAGTCCAGCACTTACTGCTGATAAGACTTCTTAATTTAATGACAACAGATTCTGCAAGAGACATAGATGGAAGCATGTGAGGTAACAAGACAAATGATTGGGAGTTAATGACGGGGTGACTTGTGTGGGGGCTGAGGGAAGCCCTCAAGTCACTGAGGGAAGCCATCACATGGTATTCCAATTGACAAAGCAAGACACCAACACGAGAGGACTCCGCACTCGCAACGCAAAAACGTACATTTTAGTATTTCCTCTCCCCATTGGATGACCCCTGATAATGCACATCACATTGCTTGCTTCTAACAAACTCTTTTCCCCGCCACATTGCGATCCAATAGTATGCTTTCACAAGCGTAGAAGCAAATCCTACCTCCTCGCCTACACTTGCGCACAAGGCAGCGCTAACTCAACTAAATCATTTGACTTTATTGGTTAAAGACAAAGCCAAGGTGAGCATCCATTTCCACACACTTGTAGCGCTGACTAGCTCCCTCCCAGTCGCCATAATTAATACAATACTTTTGTTCTCTTTTGCCATATACCTAAATATAATGCCTACGCTGTAATTTTGTACAGTGCAATCATGAATCACAGGCGACGTTGAGCCCTCCAGCTCCAGCGTCACGCCACCGTTGCCATGTCTTTTCCTCTACACATCTTCGAAAAGTTGTTGCTGCAAAAACCAAATATTGTCGTCGCTCCACAGTGTTTCAGCCCAATCCCCACCGCCACCGCCACAGCCACCACCCAGGCCATTATTTCCCTGCTCCGATGCAACGCGCGGGCAAACGTCGGACCCGTTTTGGGAGCCATGCGAAACATGTTGAGCCTGCCACGGAATAGAGGGGGCTTGGTGAAACTGGATATCGAGAGGCGTGACGGAGGAGTGATTCAGGGTGACGGGAACGGGCTGGCAGCTCGGGTCGTATTCTGACGTTGCCGCCCGTATCCGCTCCAGCAAGCGGGGCATCCACACGTAACGCAGGGTGTCTCTGAACTGCTTGCTGTTGACGTCACACTTGAGCTGCTTCGCCTGCTTCATCACTCTCGTTCTCCAATAATTCTTAATCTCGTTGTCCGTTCTTCCAGGCAAATGCTGCGCTATTTTTGACCACCTGCATCGGTCATGCATTCGTATATATCAAATCAATCAATCCACCCCTATTATTTGACTCTGACTTCCTTTTTCCCAGAAAAAAACCACAGATTTTTTCTTACTTCATTAATTAATATTTACCTATTTCCCCACCGAGAGTGCAGATCAAGAATCACTATCTGTTCCTGCAGCGTGATATTTCCGCGCCGAACATCGGGACGCAAGTAGTTCAGCCACCTTAACCTGCAACTTTTGCCCGTTCTCTTCAAACCTGCAAATTCCACAAGTTTACATTCAATCCAAAATCACTGCTTCATCATGTATAAACTGAGGGCTGACAGCTTTGAAGGCGAGATCATGCGGAGAGAAGGAACAGAGTACATGCCGGCAAAGCGGGCGACGGAATTCCAGCGACCTTCGCCGTGGATGGCGATATAATTGACCAGAATGGTGTCCTCTTCCACAGTCCATGGGCCTTTCCTTATGCCCGTCTCGTCTTCACTCTGATGCGCCTTCCTCTTACTCCCTCCTTCCACCTTCATTTCCATTCCCCTGTTGTATCAAAATCGGCGCCTCTCGGTCCGTGACACTGTAAGTGTGTGTGTGTTGATAGAGAGGGGTAAGAGTGAGAAACTTGTATGAAACGGTGCGAAGGGGAAGAACAAACAGCATGTGGGACTTGGGCTTGGTTAGTTTAAGTCGCTGGGGCATGTGGAGCTATATATAGGATGAGATAAGAATAAGCTCGCTCGGAATTCTAATTCTAAATACGAAAATGATAGTGGCCAAGTGACTCCCTTTGAAAAAGAAAGCACACCAGACTCGTTTTTCTTAAATCATGCAATTATAATAATTAACAACAGCTACTGCTTCGTTTAATTCAGTAGTGCTTGGAGGATTAAGACAGAAGCTTGCTGTTTATGGTTTGACCCGTGGACTTTTCCTTATCCCTCCGAGACACGCGCTGAGAAAGAAAGGAGAGCTTAATTAGACCAACTCATGGGTTTGGTTTATTCTATTCATTTATTTTTGAAACCAGGGAGAGGCTTTAAAAATTGGAAAATCTTTTCAATTTCGATACTCCTTTCTCTGTATCATGTGACGATGATGAAAGGGTGAGATCCGCATATGTTCGCTAAAGCATTCACTTTCTTTATGAAATTTACAAAAGGGAAAGGGGCGGAACGCCTATCGGGCCATGCCTGTTAACAGAGTATTAACTGTTGGCCGAGAAACAGATAAAAAAAAAAAATGACAAAACAAAAACGGAGATGGGTCCCCGGTTTTTCCTACCAAGGAAGAAGGGGAGTGCCCGTGGAATGAAAGGCAAAAATCATGATTAGCAACCACAGATCTGCACATAAAGAGAAGACTTTCTTAAATCTGGATTCAACGTTTATTAGGTCAGTGATATGTGAGAATGCGAGAATTTTCGTTCACACAACGACAGGTCAAAGGAAAAGACGATGAATTGGACTTGGTTTGAATAAATTTCAACCCAGTGATGGGCGCAATACACGAAGGTAGGAAAAATTCTCATAACACGTTGAACAAAGCATCAAACAGCCTCCAAATGAGGAAATTTTGTTGAAGTCTCGAAGACTTGGGGAAGCAAAGCCTACAATACGGGTAGGGTGTGGCTTGGACGAAGGAGAGAACTGCCAAACGCCCCGAGAGAGCGAGAGAGAGAGAGAGAGTATTGGCGGGCCCCGCAAACTTGTTCGACCCAACTTGATACAGAGTTTCGGCCGTACACGTCATCATAGGTATCAAATGCAAAGGAGTCAGTAGCTGAAATGCCTATAAATTATTAATTTATTCGTGATTTTGATGAAATTTGACTTGCTGGTGCGTAGAGTCGAGCAATCAATTACAATCGAAAATGGTTGATGCATGAGATATTTTTTAAAAAATTAATAATTTATTTATAAAATTTATTTTAAAATTACCTCTTATTGTTTTACTTTTTAAATATATTTTTTATCTTTCATTTGTTAAATGAGGGGTATTTTTATAAGCTTATATGTTTTTTTTCATAAATTAAATTTTTTATAAAAAAAAATTTAGATAAATTGTATACCGAATTTTATGTAATTGATTTTGTTAGAATTCACAATTAATTAAAAAAAAAGTCTCATTTGAAAGGAGTAGAAAGGAAACGTTTGTGATCGGAAAAAAGGGAAAGCAAGCTCTTACTAAAAAAAAAAAGGAAGAAAGAAAGGAAATGTGTAAATAAAAGAAGCGACGGGGTGAATGCTGCCGCAAACGTGGGGATTAACTATGAAGCCACATCCCGCAACTTCTGCAAACCGTTTTTCACTTTGGTTTAGGATCTACGATTCTAGATCACCACGACTAAACTAGTGGGACTGCAAATATTGGGTGCAATAATGAGTGCGGATAAATATTAAATTAATTTAATTTATCTCTCACCGGTTTTTTTTTTTTTGCTGTAAATATGTGTTAAAATGCCAAAAGTCTTCTATTTCTTGCTTAAGGAGAACTCCAATGATATAAATATTAACTAGTGAAAACAACAACAACAATAACAACAAGCCTTTATCCCACTAGGTGGGGTCGGCTACATGGATTGCAAGACGCCATTGTGCTCTATTATTTATTAAGCTTTTAGAAATATTATTAATTAAGAGATCACGTTCAACAACTTCCAAGAGTGTTCTCTTAGGCCTTCCTCTACCTCTCTTAATCGGACTCAAAGTTATATGTTCCACTCTTCTCACTGGTGCCTCCCTTGGTCTTCTTTGTACATGCCCAAACCATCTCAATCGATTTTCTACCATTTTTTCCTCAATAGGTGCCACCCTCACTTTTTCACGTATGTGCTCATTTCGAATTTTATCTTTACGTGTATGTCCGCACATCCATCGTAACATTCTCATCTCTGCTACTCCAACTTTATGCTCTTGCTGTCCCGTTAGAGCCCAGCATTCACTACTATATAACATTGCCGGTCTGATAGCAGTACGATAAAACTTTCCTTTAAGTTTATTAGGCACCTTACGGTCACAAATAACTTCTTTAGCTTTTCTCCAATTAAACCACCCAGCTTGAATTCTATGTGAAATATCTCCACTGATTTCGCCATCATTTTGAATAATGGCTCCCAAATATCTAAACTTTTCCACTTGAGGTATAATTTGATCTCCCAATTTCACTTCCAAATTATTTTCGAATAGTCCTTTACCAAATTTACAATATAAATATTCCGTCTTACTTCTACTCAGACGAAAACCTTTCGACTCCAATGTCCTCCTCCATAACTCAAGTTTGCAATTAACCTCTTCTCTTGTCTCTGCTATAAGAACTATATCATCCGCAAAGAGCATACATTTCAGGATTTCCTCTTGAATATGTTCCGTCAAAACATTTAAAATTAAGTTGAACAAATAACGACTCAGAGATGATCCCTGATGTAGTCCAATCTTTATAGGAAAATCCTTTGTTTGACCACTAGGCGTTCTTATACTAGTTTTTACCCCCTCATACATATCTTGTATGGCTTTAATATAAGCAATCCGTACTCCCTTTTTTTCCAACGCTTTCCAAAGCACTTCTCTTGGTATACGGTCATAAGCTTTTTCCAAATCAATAAAAACCATGTGTAGATCTTTATCTTTACAACGATACTTTTCTATTAATCCCCTTAGTAGATAAATCGCCTCTGTAGTTGATCTACCTGGCATAAAACCAAATTGATTCTCAGAAATACTTGTCTCCAATCTCAACCTGTGCTCAATTACTTTCTCCCACAATTTCATTGTGTGGCTCATGAGTTTAATCCCTCTATAGTTAGTACAATTCTGAATATCTCCTTTATTTTTATAAATAGGAATTAATGTACTTCTCCTCCACTCATCAGGCATTTTCTTGGACCGTAAAATCACATTAAATAACTTAGTTAACCATCTCACCCCTTCTTCACCTAAACATTTCCACGCTTCGATAGATATACAATCAGGTCCATTAGCTTTACCATTTGCCATTTTCTTAAGAGCTTCCTTTACCTCCTTATCACGTATTTTTCGATAGACTGACAAATTTTGTTCTCCTTCACCAGTTACTAAATCCTCCAAGTTACTAGATGAATCCTCTCCATCATTGAAAAGTTTAGAAAAATAAGTCTCCCATCTATTTTTAATTTCATCATCTGTAACTAAAATTCTTCCCTCTTCATCCTTAATACACCTTACCTGCTCTAGATCTCTTGATTTTCTTTCCCTACTCTTGGCAATCTTATAAATATTTTGCTCTCCTTCCTTCGTCTCAAGGTTCTTATAAAATTCTTCAAAAGCTTTGGAACGAGCTTCACCCACAGCTCTCTTAGTTTCCTTCTTAGCCATACGGTACCTCTCCCAATTTTCCTCATTGTTACACAAATGTATGGCTTTAAAACAGTTCTTCTTATACTTGATTTTGTCCTGTACACTATTATTCCACCACCAAGACTCCTTATCTCTCGGACCAGAACCTTTCGATTCTCCCAAAACTACTTTTGCAACCTCCCGTATCTTTTTAGCCATATCCTCCCATATGATGTTAGCACTTCCCTGAGAATCCCAAATTCCTTTATCTAAAAGATTTTGCTTGAAAATATCTTGCTTCTCACCTTTTAATTGCCACCACCTAATCCTTAGTGTTACTACTTGTCGACGTTTTTGGATTTTACTCATAATACACACATCAAGGACTAGGACCCTATGTTGTGTCGTTACAGCATCTCCAGGGATCACCTTACAATTTTTACAAAGTTTTCTATCTGTGTTCCTAACCAAAAGAAAATCAATCTGCGACCTTGAGGCTCCACTTTTGTAAGTGATGAGATGCTCATCTCTCTTCTTGAAACAAGTGTTGGCAATCTTAAAATCATACGCCAATGAGAAATCAAGAAGAGTTTGCCCTTCATTGTTTAGCTCTCCAAAACCAAAACCACCATGCACCCTCGCATACTGACCAGCTTCCCTCCCGACATGCGCATTAAAGTCTCCTCCAATAAAAATCTTTTCACTCTGTGGTATGTGTCGAATCAACCCCTCCAGATCCTCCCAAAATAATTCCTTAAGACTGGCTTCTGTCCCGACTTGCGGCGCATAAGCGCTAACAATATTAACAGTCTCACGTCCAATTATCATTTTTAAAGAAATAATTCTGTCTCCAATTCTGCTAACTTCTACAATGTTCTTCTTCCACTCCTTATCTATAATGATGCCTACTCCATTGCGTGCACTTACTTTTCCTGTATACCAAAGTTTGAAACCTTGAATATCCTTAGCTCTTTCTCCACGCCATTTTGTTTCTTGCAAGCAAAGGATATTGATTTTCCTTTGAATCATAACCCCTACAACCTCTACAGATTTACAATTTAATGTCCCAACATTCCAAGTACCAAATCTAATTTTGCTCTTATGGACTAACTTCTTTAGCCGCGTGCGTCCAGAATGACGTGGTAGCCCTTGCTCATTTAACACTACATCCGGGCGCCGATGCAGCGGCTCTAACTCACTTATCACTGTACTCGAGCCATGCAGCGCGTTACTTACGGGCAACGACCTAGCATTAACATTATAACGTCTATTGTCCATGTTCATGATAGATTCAACAAATTTTTACATTGGCTGTTGATGGCCTAACACAACCCTCCTCCTTTACCCGGGCTTAGGACCGGCTATAAACATAGGCGGAGT